TGAAAAAGCTACCGATTGATACTTATAATATCGAATTCTTGGTGATGGACATTATGCCTTCTTACTACTACCTTTTGGGAAGGCCTTGGATCCATCAAGCTGGAGCAGTACAATCTACGCTACACCAGAAAGTCAAGTTTATCATTGACGGGGCTCTTGTAATCATTAATGTTGAAGAAGATATAGTGGCAAGTGTGACCACTGATGCCCCTTACATAAAAGTAAATGATGAAGCTATAGAGTGTTCATTTCACTCTCTAGAGTTTGTGAATGCCACATTCGTGGCTGAAGGAGGAAATATTTCCAAACTCAAGCTCTCTGAATGCACTAAAATGGATATCAAGCAGACTTTGGGAAGATGTGCCAATGTAGGAAGAGGATTTAGGAGTCTTTTGCAAGGAATGATCGATCTCATTCTTCCTGTAGCAAAGTTAGACTAATTCGGGCTTAGTTTTCAGCCCAATCAACAATAGAAGAGGAAGGAAATTCAGAAATATTGAGAAAGAAGATTGATCGAGAATGAATTTCGATGGGAACCAATGGTATTCCCACCTCTTTATGACACTTTTAAATCTAGTGGTTATGTGTTTGAGACCACCGTACCATATTTGGAAGTTATTTTGAAAGATTTAAGTATCAATTCCATAATCACAGAGAATGTTGAAGATGTAGATATATCTGGAATCTGCCCATTGCCACCTGGGTTTGTGCTTAACAACTGGACGGCTGAATAGCTACCTATGGTTTTCAAATTTCTTTCAGAGTAATACTCAAACTTTCCCTATTTGTATATACCCGAGGCAATAGGTGATCTTTTGTAAGGGTAAATAAATGGTTTTTTTACCATCATTCAATAAAAGATGCAGTTTCTTTCCCGACAAACGTTTCTTCCTACTTCATTTTACTTTCTTTTGAATCTAATTTTCTTTCATTTTGTACTTCATTTCATTTCCTTTTGAATTTAATTTTCCTTCATTCTGTGTGGGATATTTGCTTCCCGCATATACACATTTCTTTTCTCTTTCCCCTTTCAGGTCCCAAGATATTAATGATGCAGACATTGATGATCCTAACCCGGAGGTGGATTTTGAACTGCTCAGTTATCTTGGGGACATTAATGAATGTGACAATGAAAAAGAGTGCAACTTACCTTCCGAATTGTTAAGAATGTTATAAAGAGAAGACAAAAAATATTGCCACACGAAAAGAAAATTGAAGTCTTGAATCTGAAGCATGACAAAACTTGATAGAATTACTTCAAGAATACAAAAACGTGTTTTCATGGTCGTATCAAGACATGCCTGGGCTAGATACGGATATGGTAGTCCACAAACTACCAATCAAACCAGAATGCAAACATGTACAACAAAAGCTAAGGAGAATGAGACCTGAAATGCTCCTTAAAATAAAAGAAGAAGTCGAGAAGCAGTTTGATGTCGGTTTTCTTCAAGTTGCCAAGTATCCGGAGTGGGTAACTAATATAGTGTTAGTTCCAAAGAAGGATGGGAAAGTGCGCATGTGTTTCAACTACCGTGACCTCAACCAAGCAAGTCCTAAAGATAACTTTCCTTTGCCCCACATAGACACCTTGGTGGATAATACAGCTGGGAACACTTTATTCTTGTTCATGGACGGATTCTCAGGATATAACCAGATTAAGATGCATCCTGATGACATGGAAAAATCACCTTTGTCATAATGTGGAGAATATTCTGCTAAGGTGATGCCCTTCGGAGTAAAGAATGCTGGGGCAATATACCAAAGAGCTGTGGTGACATTGTTTCATGACATGATGCACAAGGAAATTGAAGTTTATGTCGACAACATGATTTCTAAAGCACAAATCGAAAATGAATATGTCGAGAATCTGATAAAACTCTTCCAAAGATTAAGAAAGTTCCAGTTGAGACTAAACCCCATCAAGTGTACATTCGGAGTAATATCTGGAAAGTTGTTAGGCTTCGTGGTCAGCAGGAAAGGCATCGAAGTTGATCCATATAAAGTCAAGGCCATCCAGAATTTACCTTCTCCACGAACACAAAAAGAAGTTTGAGGTTTCCTGGGTAGATTGAATTATATTGCGCGGTTCATATCTCAGTTGACCGACAAGTGTGACCCAATTTTATGCCTTATTCGAAAAAATAGCTCTAGAATATGGGATGAGAACTGCCAGACTGCATTCGAGAGAATAAAAGAGTATTTATCTCGCGCTCAGGTCTTAATGTCTCCTATCCCGAGCAAACCTTTATTCATGTATTTGTCCATCTTTGAGAATTCAATGGGATGTGTCTTAGGTCAACATGATGAGTCCACAAGGAAGGAAATAGTCATTTACTACCTAAGCAAGAAATTCTTTGATTGTGAAGTTATATATCTACCCATTGAAAAAGTTTGTTGCGCTTTAGTCTAGGCTACGCGTAGACTCAGACAGTACGTGTTGTACCACACCACTTGGTTGATTTTCAAGTTAGATATACTAAAGTATATGATGGGTGTGCATGCTCTCTCCGGAATGTTAGCCAGATGGCAGATATTATTATCTGAATTTGACATCGAATACGTGAGCCAAAAGGCTATAAAGGAAAGTGTTATATCTGACTTTTTGGCAAGCAGAGCGGCTGAAAATTATGAGCCACTGGACTTTGACTTCCCGGACGATGACTTGATGGTCATATCTCTAGAAGAAGCAAGTACTTCTACAATTGATTCCTGGAAAACGCATTTTGATGGTGCATCAAATGCATTAGGACACGACATTGGGGCTATATTGGTCTAACCTTAAGGAAGTCACTACCCGTTCACTAGCAGATTGAACTTTGATTGCACCAACAACATGGCAGAGTATAAAGTTTGTGTTTTGGGGATTCAAGCTGCTATTGGACAGAACATAAAGACCTTACGGATATATGGAGAAATTAAAAGAATGTGAAGGAATGTGGTGTTCATGTGCTTTACGTGGATGCAGAGAGTTATAGCATTAATGATATGATATATCCAATCAGAATTTTGTTTCTGCAACGGAAATGAGAGCCGGAGATGAAAGAAGATTTGGAAATGAGGTGAAGGGGATGGAAGGCCTAAGATATTGACATATTTACACTATTTTATTTTATTGTGTATGCTATTGAGAAGATGGAACTTTGGATAATGTCATCCAAATGCATAGGTAAATTTGGATAATATCAAGTTATTTCCTTTTAAGTTTAATGAATGGATTGGTGGATTCAAATATAAAGCTTTATATTTTGACACCACAAATGCTTTCTCTTGACCAAAATGTCATTCACAAAATTGGTTCGTATCATTGAATCCATTCATTAAACTTAAAAGGAAAGAACTCGCTGTATGTAGCTTCCTGGTATTTGTTTGAGTGGAAAGGAATTGAAGTCTTATTCGCATCATCATTTTGTCCATTTGGTGGCCTTAACTTCATCAAAAGCAGCAATTAAACTAATAACGCGTCCACCGAATTTGGTATGATTTTAGTGAAAAAACAATTGACAAATGGATTATTAAACGAATAATGTATGGGTTTGCACACCAACCATCACGTGCTTAAAGTTGTATTTGAAAGGAATCCCAGCATCTTACAATTCACATTCACTCTGTTGAACCCCTCTTCGAGTTTCAGCTTTCATCTTTCTCATGGCTTCTTCTGTTAACTTCACCTCTTGTCAATTCAACATTTTTCTCTCCCATTCGCCTCGATTGAAGTATTCTTCCTCCTATTCTCGTCAGTTGAAGTGTTTTCACTCCCCTCCTCGTTCTTCTCGTCAACTCAAGTATTCTTTCTCCCCTTTGTCGTCAATTGAAGTATCCTTTCTCCCCTTCTCGTCAGTTGAAGTATTTTTCATCCCCTTCTTGTCAATTGAAGGATTCTTCATCCTCTTCTCTTCAGTTGAAGGATTCTTCCTCTTCTCGTCAATGGAAGTATCAAGTTTTCTTGAGCTTCAGATTTGAAACACGCCGTAACTTCACCAGCCAACTACTCCAAGCTTTGAAAGCCACCGGAATGATTGTCTTCTTCGACGAAGAAAAACTTGAAAAAGGGGAGCAATTTTTAGGACAACTTACCCAATCAATTGAAGTCTCAAATCTCTCAATAATCATTTTGTCTGCCGACTATGCTTCTTCGGATGTATGCTTAACAGAACTCTCTCAGATCATGGCTCTCAAGCGCAATCAAGGACATATCCCATCTTCTTCCATGTTGATCCCTCCGATGTGCAAAATATACGTGGTAGTTTCCAAACATCCTTTGACGCCCATGAACCGAAGCAACCGCCACCACGTGATGAAGAGAAATTGAAGCAGTGGAAATTGAAGCAGCAGAAAGTGAAGCAGTGGAAAGCTGACTTGGCTCAAGTCGGGACATTAAAAAGGAATTCATATAAAAGGGGACAGGTACCCATATTCTTTCTGCTCTTCTTTTACTTAACTTTGTTTTCGATTTGATATAGACATATTGTTTTTTTTATTGTTTGCTAGACCTGAGACTGAGCACATCAAGCATATTGTTGAATGTGCTATGAAAAAGTTGATAAAGCATCAGGTTTTCTTGAGCTTTGGTGAGGACACACGCCTCAACTTCAGCAGTCATCTTCTCAAAGCTCTGGAAGACACCGGAATCAATGTCATCTCGGATGACAAGACAGAGATTGAAATCTCTCAAGCAATTGCAGCCTCAAACCTCTCAATAGTCTTTTTATCTAAAGACTATGCTGATTCGGAATCATGCCTAGCCGAACTTTCCTGTATCATGGCTCGCCAGCGCACTCAGAAACATATTGTTCTGCCCATCTTTTACCATGTTAAACCTTCTGATGTGTTGAAACTTGCTGGGATTGAGAACTTCGTTGAGGTTGTTGAATTACAAGGGTGGACTATAGAAGGAGGCTATTCTGATAGGTAACCACACATTTCATACTCTTATTCCACTTCTAATACTTGATTTGTTTTTGTCTTGACAATCATTTTTACAAATATTTTCCAGACCTGATACTGAATACATTAAAGATGCCGTTCAAGATGTCATAAAAAGTTGAATCGCAAATCTAGAAGCGTTTCAGTTGATTTGATTGGAATAGATGACCAAAAAGAAACGATTTTGAGACTTATTGAGCAAGAAAAAAATCGTGTAATAGGACTTTGAGGGATGGATGGTATAGGCAAAACTACCCTTGTTGATGCTGTTTACAATGAAATCTCCTTAGAGTTTGAGAGTCGTTGCTTCGTTCATAATGTTACAAGGCAAATAGAAGATAAAGTGATGCTTTCAGTAAGAAATGAACTTCTCTCCAAACTACTAGGGAACGAAACTGATATAGACACCCCCACCATAGGATGCCCTGTAACCCAAGAGAGGCTCGATAACATAAAATCAATTGTCGTGCTTGATAATGTTAATGACCCAGAGCATATAGATCTTATGGGTATGAAATATTTTGGAGAGGGAAGTAAAATTATTATTACGTCCAGTGATAGACAAGTGCTTAAGAATGGGGGAGCTGACGAAATATATAAGGTGAAAAAAGCTAAATGACAAGGACTCTCTTCAATTATTTTCTAGATTTGCATTTAAGCAGTCGAATTCTCCTCCTGCTGGTTTTCCATATTGGAACAAGATTTCGCGGTGTGCCAGAGGAAATCCATATGTTCTTAAAGTTTTGGGTTCTAAACTTCATACAATTCCTGAAAAAGAGTGGGGAGGAGAGGTGGATAAGCTAAGGAAATATCCCCATTCAAAAATTTTACAGGTTACGATGAGTAGTTTTGATGATTTAGATGAAATAGAGAAGAATATATTTCTTGATATATCATGCTTCTTTAAAGGGGAAGTCAAAGAAGAAGAAGAAGAAATTCTAAGTTGCTTGTACGAGGGTACAGTGTCTGGAATAAACACCTTGCTCAACAAGTGCCTACTTGATATCGATTCTTATAGGAGGATTTCTATGCATGATATGCTTGAAGAGATGGGTAAGGACATTGTCCACCAAGAATCTAAAGACCCGGAAAAGCGAAGTAGGTTATGGGATTTCAAAGAAGTGAATCAAGTGCACAGATATAATAAAGTAAGTGCTAACTGAATTATATTCCTTTTTATTATACATAAGTATAAGCCTTTCCTAATATAAATAAATTTGTTTAATGAGTAATTTCATGGGACGTCCATGAATTTCTCTATATCGATATTTGATAAATTATTTCTTGTTATTAGGAGAATACATCAATTGAAGGAATAAAGTTTCGGATGACTCGGTATGACCCACTGTTATCATGTCGTCACGGTTTTGAAAACATGCTTAATCTTAGATACATCGACTTGTCTACTGGGTGTTTGATGTTCCAGAATGATAAGGTACTTGCACACAAAGTTGATAGTCTATCTTTTCCTGATGAGCTAAGATATCTTTATTGGAGCGGTTACCCCTTCAAATCCTTGTCACCAAATTATAATCCAAAGAATCTTGCCGTATTGAAATTACGTTTTGGATGTATGGAACAACTTTGGAATGGAGATCATCAGGTATTTTTTGTCGTTTTATTTTGTTCAAAATAAATAGATAATGCTATGAGGTAATATAGTTATTTTATATTTTCATTGTACAGGATCTTGTTAATTTAAGGATAATTGACCTTTCCGATTGTGTGAAACTAAGGAAGATCCCTAATCTATCAGGAGCCATCAACCTTAATAGCTTTTTCTGCCGTATGTGTGGAAGTTTGGTTGGACTACCTTGCCTCAGTCATTTGCCATCTCTCGAAATCCTTGACCTTTCTGATTGCATGAATTTAAGAAAGATCCCAAATTTATTAGAAGTCATCAACTTAAAAAGCCTTAACATAAGCTCCTGTCTAGAGCTGGTTGAACCTCTTGAGCTCCCAAATAACATTACCGAGTTAAATTTATCACACACTGTAATAAAAGAATGGCTGATTCTATTCAGCATCTTGTCACACTTAGAGAGTTGAATTTGAGTCACTCATGGGTGAAAAATGTATCGAACAATATTTCAAAGTTCGAATCCCTTCGTGTGTTGGTTCTTGATTATTGCGAAAGCCTTAAGACACTCCCGGAGCTTCCACGATATTTGTGGTTCTTGGATGCTAGTAACTGCACGTCATTAGAAAAAGTGTCCTTCACCGATGTTAGTTTCAATCCATTCCATTCTTTACATGACGGTGATGGTGCTCCTCTCAGAGAAAACATTTTCATGCTTTTCTCGAACTGTGTAGAAGCTTAATCAAGATTCAATAAAAAACATTGTGGCAAACACCATGCTTCAAATTCATTCCCTGGCACAGAGATGGTCAAGGAGGAAAGGGATATCCCTAGGGGAATATAGATGGGATTTTTTGTTTTGCTGTTTCCCAGGAAATGAAGTTCCAGAAAATGTGTTTTATTACGGAAGCATGAATTATTCGTTCGATTTGAAGATAACCCTAAATGGGTTTAAACTGACCAGCACCAGTGGTGAAAAGTTCACGAGTGAGTGCCATGTTTCATTGACACAGGACAAGATCTTCCGTTACAAGACTGATTGTAATCCATGGCTCAGGAATTTCAATTTCATGGGTGATCATGTGTTCATTCTGTTCAATCAAGATATGATTATAATAGACAATGATTATGAGGAGGCATCATTTGAATTGTACATCGGAAATCTTGCCGGAGATGAATTTAAAGTGGAGAAATGTGGTGTTAACATATTTTACATGGATGCAGAGGAGTATACCATTAGTGATGTGATGTGATGAGATGGGACAAATCCAACCAGAATTCTGATTCTCAAGAAGATGCTAATATTGAGGGAGCTCCTGACGGTTCTGCTACTGAAATAAGACCTGGGGATGAAAGAAGATTTGGCAATGGTGGTGAAGAAGGTGATGGAGGGCCTAAAGCATTGAAATAGTTTCACTTCTTTTAATCTTTGGGTATGCAACTTCTCATTCCAAATACGTAGGTAAGCTGTTTTCATTTGTATTTAATTGCTTATGATAGTTGTACATTTAAAAGGGAGATTTGTTAAAAGAGTTATGGGTTGAATTTCTTTCTATTCAATTGCTTATTATGTTTTCTCATTCTTTTGTAGATGGAGGCTATTTTCAAGGGCATCATTTGACGGTTTACATTGTCATGTTAGATTGGTGAGCTTGTGTTTAACCTGTTATGTGGCGTTTATCACATGGTATCATTCACCAACAATCCTGACATTGTTGTCTGTGTCATGAATCTCATCTAGGTTGTTTTTACTCTCTACATACGATTTCGACGTCTCCTTTACCAATTCACTTCGTCTTCTTTTTCTGTCACTGCTGCTGCTGCCGCTACGTGTGATTCGTCGATTGCTTCCTCTACTGCCACTGCATATGACGTCGTTGATCCAAAATTACTGCATGTATCCGATCTCAAATTTGACTCCATGACAACGGAGCTCGTCGTCGACTATCATGTCTTTCCATTTGTCGTTGTTGTTTGTACCGCAGTTGTTTGTACAAAAGTACAACATTTGTGCCAATTCCGGGGAATAAGAAAATATTTCTTGACATAGCATTCTTCTCTAAAGAGGAACTCAGGGAAGATGTAGATGAAATTCTAAGTTGCTTTTATAAGGGTGTAGTGAGTGGAATAAGCAACTTGATCGACAAGACTCTACTTCATATGGGTTCTAATAGGCAGATTTCTATGTATGAAGAGATGGGCAAGGATCTTGTTCGCCAAATGGAAGATTTATGTAAGAGTTACGGATTGAATTTCTTTCTATTTGATTGCTTATTATGTTTTCTCATAATTTTGTATGTGGAGGTTATTTTCAAGGGCATCATTTAACAGATTCCATTGTCTTGCAAGATTACCATAACACACTAGAATAACAACTTTGAAGTCAGGAGTCGTTTTCTTTATGTATAGAGCATTTGGAGCTGATGATTTGGGTTACCATAACAGTTTAAGGCTATTTTGAAGTTTAATTGCTTATTATGTTCTCATTCTTTTATAGGTGGAGGCTATTTTGGAGGGCATTATTTGACAGATTACATAGCCATGCTGCAGCCTTTCAAGCTGTTTGAGAATTATTGAAAACTCGAGTCGAATTTCATTTTCTTTTCCGTTGAGCATGGAATTAATCTTTGGTTCTGCATTTATGTATTAGTGGATGTATTTGTCTTTGCTTTGCTTGCGTGGGTGAAAAGGTTTTGTTGGGTTTAGTTGCATAATTCAGGCTTAAGGTGTATTTCACTTTATCATTAATAAAATATTTACGCCAAGCAAAAAAAAAAAAAAGATGCGGAGACTTGCCTTGAGTATGTGTTGGAGTAGGAACCGCTAGTGCAGGTGCAGAGTGTAGAATTCTTTTTGTATATTTGGTTAATGTACAAACTTGGTAATTAAACTTTACTCTCTTCTATTCAATTCCACCGCTGTCTTCACCGTCGCCGGGCTGCTACACCAAACCATTGGAAATACCAAGAAAGAATTGTTGAACTTTTCACTCCATCTGGATCTATCATCAATTGGCCAACTGCCCGACTTCAAATAAGCACGCAAATCGTTCTTTAATAGCTCTGAACAATTCAGGAGTTCTTCGACCCGTTTCCGAAGAGATCCTAGAAACACAAATTGAACAATGCTCTACCATTTGAAGAGGTCAACCTTCCAATCAAGACAGCCTCGTTGTAAGACAATGCAAGCTAGAAACAAAGATTGAACAATGCTCTACCATTTGACGAGGTCAACCTTCCAATCAAGACAGCCTCGTTATAAGACAATGCAAGCTACAAAACACAAGGATATGGCATATGTTAGGGTCCTTAGGGATATGGTTATGCGACCTATGGGCCAATATGGGTAATGTTGAAATATTTCAAGAAAAATGACAGCGCATAAAGAAGTTACGGAAAAGTACCTTTAAACTAGAGATAGATAATGATTCGCCAACAAGAAGATCGCAGCTGGAGACCTGCTCTGCCAATATGCCAATGGTGGTGTACAAGGATAAATAGACCTAAAAAGCATAGAGAGATATTAACAAAGATTATTACAAAGACATTCACGTATTGAGAAATAGACGGTAAGAATACGTAATACGGGAAGAATCATATACACGTCTAGAAAACTTGATCTGATCAACCCACTATCAGTATGTCAACAAGTTAGCTTATTTCCAGTTGACATTGTAATGTGGTTGACCAAAATCCTATACAAAAGATGAAGAATTGACAACTAAATCAGACTATTACCAGAAAAGCCTTGACTTGTCTTATTGCACTACCAAAGATTTCCCAGATTTTGATTAGTAGTTGGATGAGTCAGAGAAGAATATATTTCTTGACATAGCATGCCTCTTCAAAGGGTACTTCAAGGAAGAAGTAGAAGAAATTTTAAGTTGCTTTTATAAGGGTGCAACGTGTGGAATAAGCAATTTGCTAGACAAGAGTCTACTTCATATGGATTCTGATGGGCGGATTTCTATGCATGATATACTTGAAGAGATGGGGAAGGGCATTGTTCACCGAGAATCTAAGAATCCTAGAAAGTGCAACAGGTTATGGAATCTCGAAGAAATGAACCAAGTGCCCAAATATAATAAAGTAAGCATTAATTGGATCTATATTCCTTTTTTTTTTTTACATATTTGTGTATTTTAATTGAAATTTATATTTGATATATTGTCAATATATAAATTCATTTAGTTATATGTTGTTATCTGTCAATGTGCTTCAAGTATTTTAACTATTATTTCAAAAAAAAAATATTTATTTACTTACTATACATATAAAACAATTTTTATTGTCTAAAAATTTCAGTATTAAAAAGATATGTCTGATTAATCTATGCTTTTCTTAGTATAATTATATTTTCTAATGAGTAATTTTAATGAAATGTTCACAATATTTTTGTAACGAAACTTGATGAATTGTTTCTTATTATCAGGTGAATAAATCAGTTGAAGGAATAAAGCTTTTTCGTTTATCGAATTGAAGACCTGCTGTTATTATGTTCAGGTTTTGAGAAGATGCATAATCTTGGATATATCATCCTTTATACATGTCCTTCGTTCTTGTTTCAACAACTTCCCGTAGACACAGTTGATAGCGTATCTTTTTCTGATGAGCTAAGGTATCTTCGTTGGGATTTTTGTCCCTTTAAATCCTTATCATCAAGTTTTAATCCAAAGAATCTTGTTGTGTTGAAACTAACAGCTGATAGCTGCAAAGAACAACTTTGGAAGGAATATCACCGGGTATTTCATATTTTTGTTTTTATTTTTGATACGGTCCAAAATAAGTAGATAATGCAATTATTTTATATTTTCAATATACACGATCTTCTTCATTTAAGGTCAATTGACCTTTCTAATTGCAATAAACTAGGGAAGATCCCTGATCTATCAGGACCCATCAACCTTCAAAGCTTTTGCTGCAATGGGTGTGGAAATTTGGTTAAGCTGCCTTGCCTTAACCATTTGGCATCTCTTGAAAAACTTGACCTTTCTGGTTGCAAGAGTCTAAGGAAGATCCCTAGTCTATCAAGAGCCATCAACCTTCAAAGTCTTTGCTGCAATGGGTGTGCAAATTTGATTGAACTACCTTGCCTCAACCATTTGGCTTCTCTTGAAAAGCTTGTCCTTTCTGACTGCAAGAGTCTAGTGGAGATCCCTAATCTATCAGGAGCCATCAACCTTCAAAGCCTTTGCTGCAATGGGTGTGAAAATTTGGTTGAAATACCTTCCCTCAACCAATTGGTATCTCTTGAAATCCTTGACCTTTATTGTTGCAGGAATTTAAGTAAGATTCCTAATCCATTTGTAGCCGTCAACCTTAAATCACTTAAGTGCAATTACTGTACAAGTTTGGTTGAACTACCTAGCCTCAATCATTTGGCATCTCTCAAAGAGCTTCAATTGAAGGGATGTCATAATTTTAAAAAGTTTCCTCATGAGCTCCCAAATAATTTGTCTGACTTAGATTTAAGATACACTGGAATAGAACAAGTGTCGGGATCAATTCAGCATCTTGTCAGACATAAAAAGTTGAGTTTGAGTCACTCAAGGGTGGAAAATGCCCGAGCAATATTTCAAAGTTGGAATCCCTTGGCGTTTTCGATCTTGGGGGTTGCAAAAGACTTAAAACACTCTCAGAGCTTCCATGATATCTGCTGTGCTTGAATGCAAATTATTGCACATCATTGGAGAAAGTATCATTCACAGATCATAATTCCAATTCATTCTTTTCTTTACATGATGGTGATGACACTCCTCGTGAAGAAAAGGTTTCCACGTCATTCCTTAATTGCTTAAACCTCCATCTATCTTTTCAACTGTTAATGTCTTCATATTTCAGATATTAACTTTGGAGTTACCACCAAAATTGGATGCTCAAAAGCTTTACAGTTGAGTGCTTGTTGGAATAATTGGAGGGATTGCAGCAGAAAGAAAAGTCGAGTGATTCTAATATAGAGTAAGTCAGCAATATAGCATGTGTTTTTAAGATATTGAATGCTCTGATTAAGGCTCGATGGAGACGCCCTACTATACACAAACGTTTTGCTGCTATGTTGGGTGAGCTTGTAGGTGGGCAGGTTGGCGTTCCATATTCTTCACTTGGTTTCCTCATGATTTCGGTCACTATTACAGTTCGGTACATGTTACTAGGCCAGCAATTCGGTCCACTGAAACAGCGTGAAGTCGGCATTAGTTACTTGCAGCATAAGCTTATGCCGATTCTGGCTTTAGTTTATTGCATATCATTTCACTGCTCAGCATTTGGAGGAGAAATATACAGAGATGAACAATTTGTTGCCGATGTCCATGCTCTTTCTGCAGGCCTGAAGTCCTATGTAACATCATATACAGTAAAGTCACTGAGTACCTGAAGGGAAGCCTGAAGAGGCCACGCATATGCCGCTCTCAACCGGTTTGGCAACTTGAGGAATGATCACAACATTTTCCAGACGTCTGAAGGAAACAACCCAGTACTTCTGCAATAGGTTTCGGACAAATCCCCTAAATAACAAACCTTGCTTGTGAACTTGCCATGGTTTTTTTACCCCCAGTTTTCCTTCATTCAACCTCGAATTTCCTTCTTGATTCAAACTTCATCAGGCTTTTTACTGGGATATATATAGTTAGCTGTGAATCTATTGATGCAATACAAAGACAAGTTCCAAGGTGGTAAGCGATCGGTCACATGGAACTACTTGAGAGAATCTATGAATACATACATCGAAGCTGTACAGAAGTACTTCCTAAACTCTGAATTGAATATATTCCTTCTATTTTCTAGTTGTCATAGTTTGTGATGGTTGCGTCTCATCTTCATTCCCCTGTTGAGTCCGTCATCTTCTTCTGTAGGTATATAATAGATTGCTCTTGATATACTCTCTACGAGCGAGTATATTAAATTGTGTTGGTATGTGCCCTCATTATGAGATTATCTTATTACAAATGATTCGAAATGAGATTAATATGTGCATCCAATTTTAAAACGATTTAAAATTTATCGACGGTTTCAGTAATTTGATATAACATCTTTAAGATCTCTAAATATTCTAAACAGAGTTTAAGGTGTTATAAAATCAATTGTCTGTCATTGACTTTGTATATTATTGTTAACGAAGCAACTTCTACGTAAAAGGATTTTTGAAATGAAGAAAATGATTGTGGTGGGGGGTTTCTAAGGTCCACAAGCATATGGATTAATTTCATGGCTCCACACGCA